TCATGCTCTCTGTATGTGCGTATATATATCTCCTCAATATATGTTTCACTCTATATGCATCTGAAGAAGTGGGCTGTAGTCCACGAAAGCTTATGCTCTAATAAATTTGTTAGTCTCTAAGGTGCCACAAGTATTCCTGTTCTTTCAGCGGATACAGACTAACACGGCTGCTACTCTGAAACCTGTCTCTATAACACTGATAGAGATGCACAGCTGTTTGCCTCCCCAGGTATTAATACATACTCTGGGTTAATTAATAAGTAAAAAGTGATTTTATTAAATACAGAAAGTAGGATTTAAGTGGTTCCAAGTAGTAACAGACAGAACAAAGTGAATTACCAAGTAAAATAAAATAAAATAAAACAAAACACAACACGCAAATCTACATCTAATACAGTAATATAACTGAATACAGGTTAAAAACTCACCCTTAGAGATGTTTCATTAAGTTTCTTTTCTCAGACTGGACACCTTCCAAGTCTGGGCACAATCCGTTACCCTGGTACAGTTCTTGGTACAGCTCAGATGGTAGCTAGGGGATTTCTCATGATGGCTGCCCCTTTGTTCTGTTCCACCCACTTATATATATATATATCTTTTGCATAAGGTGGGAATCCTTTGTCCCTCTGGGTTCCCACCCCTCCTCACTGGAAAAGCACCAGGTTAAAGATGGATTCCAGTTCAGGTGACATGATCACGTCACTGTAAGACCCCCAAGCCTTCATTCCTCCCAGCCTGACTCACAGGAAGGCTTGCCTGCAAACAGAGCCATCCAGTCAATTGTCCTGGTTGATGGGAGCCATCAAGATTCCAAACCACCATTAATGGCCCACACTTTGCATAATTACAATAGGACCTCAGTTATATTTCATATTTCTAGTTTCAGATACAAGAGAGATACATTTATACAAACAGGATGAACACACTCAGTAGATTATAAGCTTTGTAATGATACTTACAAGAGACCTTTTGCATGAAGCATATTCCAGTTACATTATATTCACTCATTAGCATATTTTTATAAAATCATATAGACTGCAACATCACACCAGGTCTTCCAGTCTTCAAGAAAAAACTGAAGATCCTGGTTACATGGAATGTATTGACTTGTAGCACTACCCTGAATGGCAGTGCTGAGTATTAAGTTCAAGCTTTTACACTGATTAACTGGAGAGTTGGCAACTTTACATCAAAGGCGCTTTTAATTTATTTAGCCTGAGAACCAAGAATCTTCCTTTCAGTGAAAGAACATCACCTCCTGCAACTTCCACTAAGTGGAACTATGATCTAAAATTGATGCTGAGAGGTTCACCATGGAGACTGATTCCATGTTCAAAAAGATGAGACTGGAGCATGCAACAGAACTGAATATTCTTAGACAACCTACTATAGCAAATGTACTTATAAGAAAAATGAGTTCTTATCTCACTAAAAAATAAGTCAGACTTAGTGACAAAGGCACTCTCTCAAATTTCACTGTATTAGAAGAACAGTTACCTCCTCCCTTATCACCTACATATATATATATACACACAGCATTACATCAAAATCAGTTTGAGAACCGTGCTCCAAACCACAAGGGGCAAGTCCAAAAACTCCCCCTGCTAAATCTGCTGAGAAGTCAGAAATGTATTGCAGCACTTCACAGCTTCTTTGTTTCTGCAGAGATGATAGTTGTAGGAGAGTCCTATCATGTCTTGTAAATGTCAGAGGTAAATGTCAGGGACTGGTGGTGGCTGATGCAACTAGGAATTGTGTTTCTTTTTCATTTGCTTAACTGATGAAGTCTTAAAATGATATCCATTTAAAAAGGAATCTCTTCTGTTCAAAGACACCTTACAATGGGGAGCTCAATTCAAAGTTATGCTTTCCCAGATTTCTGTGGAAGAGTGTTTTTCCAGGCTATTCATGCATTGCCCAGGTGGCAATACCATTTCACCTTGCCTGCTCCTTGTTTAAGTTTTAAGAACTCACCAGTAGGAGGTGTTCACAATACCTAGACTACAACACAAACATTGTTTAAACTCTTCAAAGTTTAGTCACTTGGAAGTGAAAGTTGTTAGTCTAAGATGAACCATGTGACTCGTATGCTATTTGGGTCAAGTAGGGCAATGAGCACTCTTCCTCTAGAGACGCTTGGAAAAGGATCAGTCTGAAGTAGGACAGTTTATAAATTTTGCTAAAAATCTGAACCAGAATTCTATTGAGCTGTAGGCTTAACAGCATAGAAATACCAAAAAAGTTCCTGACGTAGGCCATGTTAACAGTTAAGTCCCATTTATTTGAAGGTGTTTGAAAACTTCTGGATAAACAAGGATTTTTGTTAAAAATCAGGGAGCCAGTCTGCTTGCCGTCTGCCTCAGTTTCAGAGGAAGCTGGATCTCCTTCCAAAGAGGTTGGATGGAAAAGGCTACAACATTCCTAGTGAGCACACCCACTTTTAAAACTAGCTAACATGCTGTTCATCACACCACAGGTATGTGGGGAACAGAGTGCACCCCACAAAGCCAGGTAGCTTCAGGTGTGCTTTTCAGTGCTCTGGATTTAGGGAGCCAGGAGTGTAGTGAAGTTTACATTCCCAGTGGCAGTGCTGTAAAGAGAGCTTAGGCTACAGTCCAACACTGTTTAACCAAGCAGAGTGCCATCTTCACAGACACAACCTACCATGTTAAGGCTTAACCTTTTCTTCCCCTCCAGCTAGATTTCTCAAGTCTGGAATTAAAAAACAGCCAGCTGTCAAGTTACCAAGTACATTTCCTCTCTCCTGCAACAAAAGTCCTTGCCCAATAACCTATTAATAGCTACAAGTTTGGTTAATAAAGCAAATATCCCACCCAGCCATCCGATTTCTACTGATGAAAAGTTAAAGTTGAGCTCTGATTGGGGGGCTATAAAAAGCCATAAAGATAGTTATCTTGAATTCCAGCTATTTCCAGTACTTAATCACACAGTACGTACAGTTTATATTTTAGCTTCACCTTAAGACAAGCCACCGATCTGGATTTACTTCCATAGATAAAGATCTCTAGAGTCCCAATCCACAAGCTACTTGAGGTCAGTCAGTCCAGTCCCTGCATTAATGCTGGTGAAAGCTTGCTCCCTCCCATAAAGGAAAGACACTGTAAGAAAACATCCAACCAAATATCCCTTAATGGAACACTGACCACCCCAGACACAGCACTGCTCTGAGGGGGTTCTGTTGGGGGACAGAACTAATTAAGAATGCTGCCTTGTTTCAGCTGCAATGCCCCTGGAGGCTCTGCTTCATACAGAGGTGCCCTGCTGTTTTTCATGCGCCACAGCTCTCTGCATGAGGAAAGCACTCAGATGGAAAGCTCTCTGTGCCAGCGTTCAATTGAATTAATGGAACACTTGTAAAAGTGCTAAACCAAGCTGACTACGGGGAATAGCAGCATATTCTTATGGGCGCAAAGGCCATGTGCTTCCAAAATACCTTTGCCAGGGTGAAACTAATCACTTGGCTATTGTTTCTTTTAAAAGCTAGCAGTGCTTGATTGGCTCAGGGAGGGTGGAATAATGCAGGCTTGATTACAAACTGCAAAAATACAAGCCTATTAAAGGAAGAAAAAAGGTATATGTAGTCTCCACTTTCATTAGCCGCCTACTCTGTACATGAACAAAAATTCCTAGTACATTCTGAACAGGCAGCAATTACCCTGTTGTGAATTTATGCTGGTTAGTCATAGCAGCAGTGCTTTCTGCAGTACTATGTAAAAACAGTCTGTGTACTTTAAAGAATCAAAACAGACTAAGAAGGTCTTTGGGCATGGGCACATCTACAATAAAAGCATTAAGCAGTGGGCAAACATCTCTATCAGGAGGTTACCTAGCAGCCTCTTGCACTCCTACTTCAGACATGGGTGTGTTAGAAGCTTAGATAGAGGCAGAGGGTTAAAGCAGTAGCCCTTCACCTCAAAGCCTTTGTTCAAATGACTGAGTTTGGGGGTTTCACTTTAGCCCGCATTCCCTCCCCCGCAAGTCTCTTC